GATATGTTGATCTTTTGTGTTTAGTTCGACTCATCCCAAACCAACCCGTACCTAAGGTACTACTTCTTAGATTTCACCTCGTTATGGTAAAGGTGTGAGGCTTTGTAACGGTGGCCTCCCTCCCTGGTAGGTACCTGCCAGGGCGACATTCAGGTGGGGTACCGTAGCTGATGTTGTGGAAGCCGTTGGGCTTCATTGTTCTTGTAGCAGGAAAACGGTCATCACTTGATCAGGCCCTGAAGGCGTGCGTTTTTCAAGACGAATTTTGAGTTCGGTCGATATTGCCACATTATTTGAGCCTAAAAAAAGTAAGAATGGTCATGAATTGACTCCTCGAGCTCCTTCTCAATCAGAACGCACACACACCTCTTGCATCGTTTTTGCTTTGCGTCAATGGACCCACCTTTTCCTGATTCGAGATTCACGATTCGAGGGACCGCATCGACCACCGCCCACTTTTGCTGTCACAAATCCAGCCGTCTCGTTCCAGACCCGCGAGGTCCTGAGTGGGATTGATGATCTAGTCGGAGAGAGTTGTGTGGGTTTGGATTTGGCTTTGGCGGCATTATCCGAAGGCTGTTCAAGTCATAACCGCATCGCGCCGCAGCGCATCTTGAGCTTGACCCAGGTACCTGCACTTACCGAACGTACCTTACTTAGCCTAGCCTTGCTTCGAACTCGAGGTTATTCCCACCTGCTGAACCGCGAGGAGCAGGCAGCATATTCCCCCCAAACACGATGGAGGACCGGATGCAAATCGACCCGCAGCTGATGGCGGATGGCCAAGACACGCACGCTGCAGCTCACTATGAGGATGACACTGCCATGGCTGGGGCCGAGCCTGCATCGTATCCCTACAACGCTGCCGCCGATGACGACGCAGAAGACGATGTTTCCGACGAGATCTCAGACGCCGGATCAGATGATCTCGCGCTGCGGGCAGATTGTGCCAGACACGATGCCAACAGGGAGGCCTTTCTGGCCCAGCAGCGTGCCGGTATCGATACGTCGGCCAATCTCCCCCCTGCGCCCAGGAAACCCGCCGGCCCTCAACCTATCCGCAAAGGAAGGAAGTTGGGCCCGCGCAAGGCGGCGAAGCCCTCGCCGGATATCCTCTTCCGCCTGTCCCTGGCGAACGAGTCCTTCGAGCGCAAGCAGTACGCAGACGCCATCCAGATGCTGGGCGAGGTGATCCGTATCAACAGCGAGACCTATGCGGCTTGGACCCTGCTCTCCACCATCCATGAGGAGCTAGGCGACCGCGAAAAGGCATGCATGTGCTTGATATCAGCCGCCCACTTGGTCCCCAAGAATGTGGCATACTGGATCAACACAGCCCTGTACGCGCTGCATGGCATTGAGGATATGGAGGAGGGGCCCGAGAGGGAGAGGGCACTGGAGCGAGCCCACGAGTGCTACACCAAGGCCTTGATCGCCGACAAGAGGAACATCGAGGCTCGCTCGGGAAAGGCAGATGTGCTGCTCATGCAGGGGCAGCCTGCCATGGCCTTGGCTCAATACCATCGAGCCCTGGAGTACTCACCCCTGAACATTCGGACCGTGCGGAATTTGGCAGACGTCACGCTCGACCTGAAGGACCCCAGGAGAAGCTGCGAGGCGGCAAAGAGGGCGTACCGACGCATCATCGACCACCTGCAGGCTTTAGACACGCTTGATACCGAGGAGGGAAGATTCGAATGGTCCGATCTGCGCATTTATCTCGAGTTCTTTGCGATCCTCGAGCAGTGGCAGGCGGCGGCCCTGGAGTTGAAGGAGATCTCGCGCTGGCTTCTCGGCCGGCGCGCCGAGTCGTACTGGGACCACTGGCTTGACGACGACAGGGAGTGGGACCTCCATGACGACAGGCGAATTGATGTGACCGACTTTGAGCCTGCGCGGTATCCCCAGGATTCCTATGGCCAGGGACTGCCGACGGATCTGAGGGCGAAGCTATATGTCTACCGGCACAAGCTGGGCCAAACGTTTGAAGCCGACAATCACCTCAAGCTGCTTGACCCCACGGCAGAGAACGCTGTCGACAGTTTCATGGACTTTCCCGACTGCTTAAAGGATATTGCTACGGCCCTACTCGAGGTGGACAAACCCTACGAGGCGCTGATGTATCTTAATCTCTACAAACGGATTGCCGACGAGTGTGGAGATATCCCGGTGGATGCGGACTTACTCGTCAGTCAGGGACGATGCCACATGGCGCTGGGGGATAAATCCTTGGCCGAAGAATGCTTCATCGCGGCCATCGAAGACGACCAAGATCACATCGAGGCCCGTGTCCAGCTGGCCAACATGTACGAGGGTGAGCATGAACAGGAAGGCAGAGAGGAAGCTTTCCTCCTCGTAAGAGAAGCCCTGAACCTCGAGGCTAGGAGAAAGGACGGGACGTCTCTTAAACCGCGCCGGGCACGCGGCCCGTATGGACCACGAAAGCCCAGGGAGAAGAAGGAAAGGAAGGAAAGGAAACCAGGCGAGAGGAAATCCAAATACGTGCCTCGCCGTCTGATCAACGCGGAAAAGAGGGCACAGCAAGAGTTGGAGATGCTGGGGGAGGCGAGCAGGAACTATCAGGTGATGCGGGACCTGAAAGAGCAAGTCGTCGCTGGTGACGAGCAAGCCACAGCTGCATGGACGAGGGCAGCAAAGAATCTCACCGACGATTTCCGCTCGTACAAGCAGTTTTACCCCTGGGAGAAATACATCCGGTATCTCGGCTTCGGAGGACAGGCGGCGGTGCCTTCACGCAACTTCAAGCTCGCCGCCATGGCGGAGCGGCTTCAGCATGATCTCGCGCCCGTCGAAGGCCAGGAGCAGACCAACAAACAGCCCGTCAAGAACTTCCCAAAGGACCATCGCGGCATTCCGTTCGACCAGTGGCTCGACATCTTCCTGGACTACGCCTTCTGCCTCGTTCGTCTCGGGAAGCACCGCGAAGCGTATATTGTATGTCACGCCGCGAGGGATTCCATCATCTGGGCATCGGTCGAGAACACCTTCCTCATCCACGTAGCGTGGGCCTCCTGCGCCATCTACGCCGGCGACGAGGAGACCTGCGTGGCGATAGCCCGCTACTTCATGCGCGACTACATGCCCGGCACGGACTCTTACCGCATGTTCTCGGCCATGTGCCGAGTCTGCCAGACGCCCGTATCTTGGTACACGTCAGGCCCGGCGCAGAAGTTCATCTTGCGCCAGATCAAGACCATGGACAACATCGTCATGAAATCCCGAGGCCGAGGCCGAGGCGCCAGAAACGGCTCGGACGACCAAGAGGGGGAAGTCGCGCGCTCCAAAGACCAGATCGACCTCGACGTCTGCCTGCTTACCATCTACGGCCACATCCTCTTCACGACGACGAGCTACACCTACGCGCTGTCCTACCTCGCGCGCGCAGCCTCCATCGACCCGCGCAATGTGCTCATCAACCTCAGCATCGGCCTGGCCTACCTGCACTACGCGCTCAAGCGCCAGGCCACAAACCGGCAGTACCTCCTCGCGCAGGGCTTCGGGTTCCTGTTCAGGTACTACCACGACCGGCTGTCGGGCGCCGACGTCTCGGTCGGCCAGCGCCAGGAGGCCAACTTCAACATCGCCAGGGCGTACTCGCTCATCGGCCTCGGCAACCTCGCCATCGTGTATTACCAGAAGGTCCTGGACGACGAGGACGCCGGCACCGCGGGGGTGGGCGGTAGTATGGGCGGCGAGGACCTCAAGTTCGAGGCGGCGTATAATATCCGGTCGATTTGCTACTTGCTGGGGGATGTCGAGGGCGCCAAGGGTATTGCGAATCGGTGGTTGGTTCTGTGATTTTCTTTTCTGGGGGGATGGACGGGTTGGAGTTGGAGTTGGGGTTGGGTTCATGTCAGGGTGTGGATTGGGAAAAAGCAGAGGGCATGTTTTGATTGTATGTATTAGGCATGTGAATGAATGTCTGAAAGAAGGAACGGGGGAGATTCACACATGAGAGGGTGAGGGCTGGGATTTTAGTTGCTGTCACGTAAAAGCGTGCTCGTAGGAAAGACAATGATAGGCTGTATCCCTCGTGGTTGGGTCTTGGTTCGTGTTGATCTCAGTCAGCTGTTCACACGACATGGCGGTATTGGCGTCAAAGAGAACAAGGAAGCCATGGGAAGGAAAGAAGAGCAAAGATGACGAGTATCGGTCTGTGAGCATTCGGAGAGCTTGTGGTTCCAGCTGCGATGCTACTCTCTCGAGTCCGAACTGTGGAGGCTCTGTAGGCAGAGTGGTTGTTCTCTAGCTCTTGACGGTTCTGGGGAACAACTGGGCCACACGTCGGGTCGAAGATGGTGGGGTTGACGTGGTCTCGGAAGAAAACCGAACAGAGACGTGCATACCTATATATGATGAATCATGACGACTTTTGTCTCTCTCCTTTCGGACGTGAGTTGTCCTCCAGAGTCCAGACACGGGCTCGAGTGTCGTGGATACCTAAGGTAGGTAAGGTAGTCCTGTTGTGGCTTGAGGATAAGTCACAATACCACCACCTCTGTCTTATATCACTTGAACTACGAGGTCAGGTACCTAGACTCAACCTTGATGGGGTATTTCTCCTTCCGAGGATTCTTTCCAATAAGGCTCGGCTGTTGATTCCGACGATACTACCTACCTTACCCTGCACTTAAAAGTCCACGAATGACATCAAGAATTGCTTATTTCATGTCCCGAGACATTTGTGCGGCTATCCGTTGTTTCTTCCATCGGAGAGACATTGTGTTCACTTTTCCAGGAGGGGATTGTGTCTTGGGTCGGGTTGTTACGCGACCTAGCACATGGCTTCCAGTTCCAGTGCAGACATATGTCTGATGACTATGACTTATGTAGAATACCTACTTGAGTTGGATGGGAGAGAGAGGCAGGTTTCATGGAATATGGAACATCGTTTGTATCATTCATTATACGTACACTAGTCCTGTGTAAAGGAAGGGCTAGGGGGGGAAAGGGAAAAGGAGAGCAAAAGCAAGAGAAAATACCCGATCTCGGAATCGAACCGAGGACCTTTGTGTGGTAATTATGTACCTCAGCCTCCTGTCTCCTGCCCTGGATGCTATGTCTAACACAGTGCAATCGGCGGCCTGCCACCCCAACGCGCTGACCACTGCGATGATCAGGTGTTGAAACTCGCACTTCGAATTTCAACCTCTACAGTTCATATCGCCAATCGAGGTCTTCCACTTCCCCCTTATCACAAGAAGCGATCCAATACGGTCTGGAATAATAACTCGAGGGAGAAATGGACGTGTTTGTCGTAAGATTACCTGCGCGAGGGGGAGGAGGAAGGAATACAGTAGAGACGGCCGGCCATGGCTTAAAACAGCAAACACCGTCATTGAAGCCATCGTGGCGTCCCGAGGGTTGCGTGCGCGGATAGTTGCCGAAAAGGCCGCGCAATCTGATCTGAGACTTGTTGTCGCGGGTTTTCGTTTTTGGTTTCATGGCGGTGTATGCATGCACGCCACTTTTTTAAAACCCAAATCTTACCAAAAAGGAAAGAAGGGAAAATAAAATGGAAGTGAGGACCATGTTGGGTGTTTAACTTTGTTTGAATCGCTCGGATCAAATGCCCAATCAGTATTACCGCAGGCGTGTCGCACCAGGCGACAGCCGCAGTCGTTGATCGCGGACTTGGTCGTTTTACCACATTTGACATCGCACGACCACACGATAATTCAGGTAGCCATAACGTTTGCACGTCGGCAGGCGATCAGCCTGACAATTTTCCCCTTCCTTTCTTTTCTTCGGGCACTACACTAGGTAACCGCCGACCGACTGAAAGTGAAGCTCAAACGCCGCTCCTTGGCCTATGTCTTGGAGATGGTAATGTTTCGTTTGATTTCAAAACAACGGAGCGGCAAGGCAGTGTGCAGCATTGGTCACGAGACTGTCGCGCGCTACCTGCTCTCCTGCCTCGAGGTCGGCGGTTGCGCTGCCCGGACGGCGCCGGGCCCAGGACCCAGGACTCAAGACAACTAAATGTATATATACTACGTGCACTATAAACGCTGGAGAAAAGTCAACCGCGCGCGTGGTAAAGAGCCAAGGTGAGGTGACGGTGCAGTCGGCAACAACTGGCAGAGAGTCAATTCGGAGACGGGACGAAGCGAGGCGAATCGAGACGCACACGTTGATAAACGCTGACAGTCAGGTAGAGCTTAAATCGAGATCCTGTTTCCATCTCCACCAGCGATCGGCGTGGCTTCCTTCTGAAACAGTCAATGCTCCGTCCCGCTAGTCCTGGACGGGTTCCTGTCACCTCGGGCCTCGTGCGGCTGCCCAGGCGCTGAACCGGACAGACTCTTCTAGCGGCACTCGGGAGCGCCGCTCTTCTGTCAACAGCCGATAGGCGAAAGGGGGGCTAGACCACGGTAGGCATTCCTTTCCATCGTCCATCCCGCCCGTCCATCATGGCGGTATGGATCTTATCGGAGGGGATTTCAGTGGGTCAACAACTGTCAGTTCGGTAGATTACCTAGGGACTTGTGTACGCAATCGCAGCAAGGGGGAACGAAACGACAGAGGACTGGCTATGCGTAGCTGAGTGCACAAACACATGGTTCGTAAAATATTCAATCTGACAGACGGAGCTGGGGCAAACACGGTCTGAAAAATGGGATTTTTGTTTTTGTTTACGATCTCGTCCCTCATCCTCGCCGTCACAAATCTCGCGAGGTAAGGTGACGGGTTCGGTTCGGTCCTGTGGCTTGACCCTTGTTCATTTAAGCGAGTGTTTCATGGTCCTTCTAGGCGGCAACCGTGCTGGTGGAATCCATGGACGGGCGGGAAGGCAGAATGCCATCGTCCCCTGGCGGGGGTGATGGATCGATCCATGGGTCCAGAATTGTCCCGCGGTGATGGCTCGCAAACAACGTGTCAGATGGAATGAATCAAAACGTGGTATAATCGACCGGAGATATTGATAGCTCACCGGGGGTTTTCCGTCTCGACGACCGGGTTAGCGGGCACCGTTGAGATGACAAGACGTTTACTACTGTATCTACCTACCCAGACTTCTACGTAGTAGGTAGTGTGTATTGTACGTAATAAACTCAAGTAGGCTTCTGATTCCCCAAGGTCAACTGTCGCGGAATCGGAGAGCATGCCCTACCTACCGGTAATCGCAAAACTTTCTCGCTTGCGTGGTTTTCGGGTCCAGACCGCCTACATTACTACCTTCTTTGAGTATCTCGGATACGTCGGCTCTACCAAGACACCGGACTGCCGTCGAGGGCACAATCGCCTCCCTTCGCAGTCAGACGGATAGGGGAACTGCTTGACATGTTGGCATCCTCTTTCGGTCGCCATGGATTGCGGGTGCGTACGCAGTTCCTCCCTCCTCCGTTGATGCCCAACAGCGGCGAAGGACATAAGCTTCAGGAGAGGAGGCGGGAGAACGTCCCGAAATTAGTAGGGTCCGCGCCTCACAATGCTGCCGCCCACGCCGTGGAGTCGAGGTGGTCGCCTCGTCACAATTTAGTTTACACTGACTGACTGTACTATGCCTTGCCCTCTTGGAATAACCTCAGTTACCCGATCTGCGACGGCCCGTCACCGTCACCCGCTGTCTTGCTTAACAGTTCGCAGTAGACGCTGGTTTCTGGTCTCGGCGCTCTGGATACTCGCATTGGCTGTCGGTCGTCGGTAGCAGGGACTGTGGGGACGGTGACAACCTGCGATCTCTCGCGGCCGACCGAGAAACCTTAGGAGAAAATCTCAGATGATCCTCGTTGGACGCCACAAATGCGTCTCTACGGGACAGTTCATAGGCAACTTTCCTTCTGTTCACGTTGTTGCTCCTTCACTCCTTCCGCCAGACGCAGAGTGCCTGCCGAGTGTGCCAGCACACATCCAGAACCAGAACCGCACCCCCGAGGACCTGCAGGTACCAAGTCTTTTTTATCCAATCAGCGCGGCGTGGCGTGCTGCAAGACGCAGGTACAACCACCTCTTCCCCTCTCCCAACCCGCACCGACCCAGATTTCCACCAGGCACGCCAATTGCAGCCAACAACCTGGAAAGCCAGCCGGGATTGATTCAAAAAAGTTCCTGATGCATTTTTCTCTCAGCCTGTTTTTCTTCTTTTGCTGTTTAGGATTTTATCCACTGCTCCACTTGTTCTTGTCCACGCTCCACAGTAAACCTACCTGACCTATGCGCCTCCAAGGTCATGGCCCATCCTGTGCCGATGTCAGTCCCCCAATCCTGCCTGAACGGGTCACAGTAGTGTGTAACCAGAGCCGCCGTGGGGTGTCTGACAACGAGACAACCGGTCGACGACGAGGGCCGCCAGAGTTCTTGGAGAGCAAGACCTAGCAGCGATACGCGGGTCTTTCTCATCCACACACAGGCTGGTGCCCTGGCCGCTTTTTACTATCCCGCTCTCACTGCGGTTGCGCTGATGAAAGGGGCTCCAAAGGGCATTCATTCTGTTCTGGTCTGGTCGGGAGTTGGTCCTGGGTCCTGGGGGGCTGGGACCTGGAAAATCCCCGCCGCACCTGGTCACTTACCCACACCCCACTCCCTTGCGCTGGCCCATTCATTCCATCAGTCGTCGTTGGCGGGAACCCCTCGGTGGTGATCGTGGTGGTCGTGGTGGTGGTGGGGCGCCCAGCACTGGGCATTCCATCGACCACGGGTGACAGGACAGGGATTGATTCGCTGTGTTTCTTTTCTTGCGCCCCTACCCGTCCTCTACCACAGTACGTACCTGGATCGGACAGCTGAGTGCGCACATTGACCTTCACCCTTGGCTCTGCATCTCGAGACTCACGCCCACAGACCCCCCCGGCTCCCCTAGCCTCCCTCCAAACAAGACATGGCTTCCATACGGGCTGGCCATACGGGTTGGAGGCATAAGCGGGCCCTGTCAGTTCCCAGCCTGCTCTGGAGCTGTCATTTGCTTGCCCTGCCTGTCTCCCTGCTGCCTCCACACCCCCCTCGGACGGGTTGCGCGTTGAGCTTCGTTATTATAAACCCAAGTCTGTTCCCGGCTTGGATGGTGCTCTTTTTGTTCACCCACCTCATCGACTCTTTGGGCTTTGTGTAGTTCACGTCTTGACGACCTGTCCCTCCTTTTTTTTTTTTCAATATCCAGCTGCTGAGCCTGCTTAGCGCGTCCTCTCCTTTCTATCCATCTTGTCTCCTTGTCTCGGCACAGGAACAACTCAGCGTCACTATCGAGTCCCCAGATACTCTAGTGACACTCATTCACCTTCGTTCAGTCCAGTGCGTCAGCGATCGCACGGCATCACTTATAGAACACCACACCGTCTTCAGCCCTCTGTCTCACGGTCCAACGAGCGAGACCTTGCAACTCTTTACGATACCCCCACCCCCCCACCTTCATTATCTACACAAACGCCCACCGATCACCACCATGCTTCTCACCACCGTCTTCGCGGCCTTGGTCGCCTCCGTTGCTGCCAAGGACTCGCGTACCTTCGCCGTGCTTCACCATTACGGAAAGGGACCTCTTACTACCTGCCGTGCCGACCCCGTCATCAGCCCTGGTGTTCCCTCGGCACATCTCCACACTGTCATGGGAGCGAGCAACTTTGGGCTCAATGCCACTGGCGAGAGTCTGCGCCAGTCCCGGTGCACCACTGCCAAGCCCAAGGCCGATCTCAGTGCCTACTGGTTCCCAACTCTCTTCTTCAAGGATCCCAAGGACGGCCATTTTGAGCAGGTCAAGTTGTTCTATATGAACGTCTATTACTTGTAAGACCCCACGGAGATTCGTTACCTAGGATGACACGGTGTAACTGACTCAAAATAGCTTCGAAGCAACCAATGACAAGATCCAGGCCTTCCCACTCGGCCTGCAGATGGTCAGCGGCAATGCCCAGCTGAGGACGGCTCCCCAGACGACGGGGGACCAGAACCTCGATCCTTCCAAGGGACCAGTCCAGCCCGCTCAGATTACCTGTCCTCGTAGTAACTTCAACCCACCAAGCTGGCCGGCTGGTTCTGATGGATCCATGGCTGGTATTGGGGATCCCAACAACAAGGGCTCTGGTATCGGCTTCCCCTTCCAGGACTGCGACGGATTCGCCTCGCCCATGCGCGCCGACCTTCACTTCCCCTCATGCTACAACCCTGCGGCCGGCTTGACCAACT